CCCGAAATCTATGCATCGACTCGTATAAACGAATACTGATACAATTACGCCAGTCGGGCAACCAGCCACTCCCGTATGGGAATTTCAGTTTTGGAGTGATTCTTTCCTCTGTTCTACTCAGATGGCGTTACTTTCATTTTGTCGATGAAAGACGCCTCGGGGTGGATAAAATGCCAAATTGATTTTTGTTTGGCTAGGCTTCGCTGAGTCGGCGGTCTTAGGACTGCTGGCTGGAGACTACACTGCACTGATGAGAGTCAAAGAGCTCGAAACCAGTCTGTGGTTGTCTAGCGGCCTGCTTAATCAAAATCAATAGGCATTCAGGAAAGAATCACTTGTATCAGTATTCGTTTATACGAGTCGATGCATAGATTTCGGGAGGATGTAATTCAATATCCTGCGTGGCATTAGCCAGGGAAGTAGTTGTTTTTCTCCCGAAATCTACCATTGTTGTTCAGTTTATGAACACTGTGTGGATATGACTTTGAGCTTTTTGCATTTATTTAACATATCATTCCACTTTGAGCATTGTGGCTATATCGTAGTTGAAAAAGATTAAAGATGAAGTGTATCAGTTTTACAGTGGATGATTTATGGCGGGCTGTCCCATTGTATTATGAACAAAAAGGGGGAGAATGTCCTTGATGTTCATGAGTAAACTCTTCTTCTTCTTATTCTTAAATACATATATTAATAATAGCCTGTGCTATTATAGCAGAGTTACAAACATCACAATATATGAATACAGCTTAATCATAAATCAGTTACTCATGACCTTAAGATTTTATGCCACTGCATGGGAGTTTTCTGATCACCATAGGAGATTTTCTGAATGTCAGCAAGAGTTCAGCTTGCAATGTGATCAAGAAAGTGACAAGAGTATTGTCATCTTTGAATCAAAGGTACATAAAAATGCCAGAGAATGAAGAAGAGATTGGGCAATTGAGATTGGAATTTTATCAAATAGCTTGCATGCCAAGAGTCATAGGATCAATTGATTGCACACATATCGAAATTCAGTCACCAGGTAAAATATTTGAGATCAAAGTTTGAGTATGTTGAGTGTTATACCACAGATCACCTAACATAATGAAATAAATAATAAGGAATTTTTCAAATCAAAAAGAAAATATACTGTTATAGAAACCCCAACACCCAATAAACTGATTGTATTCCAATAATATTGTATGCAAGCAAGCAAATGAAAGAATACATTTTCACTGGGTGTTCAGGTTCCTATGTCACTTAGCATATTTTATGAAAATGTAAGGTTGAAAGAATGCAAATTATAAAATTAATTTTTGAATACCTACTTCAACATTGATTAATCATCACATAAGTTAATCCATAAAACACTTTTCAGGTGGAAAGCATGCAAAATTGTTTAGAAATAGAAAGGAATATTTTTCATTGAATGTGCAAACAATATCATCTGCCAATTTAAAAATAATGGATATAGTAGCACACTGGCCAGGTCCAACCCATGACCAAATCATTTTTGATAATTCTAACATCAATCACAGAATACTTAATAATGATTTTGGAGATAGTTTATTTGTAGCTGATAGTGGTTCCCATATAGCACACGACGTCCAGTGGACGTCCAGTTTAGGTCCAAATAATGTCCAAAGGTCCATGAACCTAACATGGACGTTCAATGGATGTTCAATTAGGGATATATTTTGTAACGTCCAGTACTGTACGCCTTATGGATGTCCATTGGGAGTAAGATATTCGACTTCACCAAAACATCCATAGTCCTAGGTTTCAGAACGTCCAAGAAATGAACGAAATCGGATCTAAATCGTACGTTTACGATTCGAACGTCTATGTACACTGAGAGAAACTGGATATTAAAAATATCTACCAGCTCTGATTGTAATAACCTTTATAAGGAAATCTCCTATTCCTGATCATTTTATTATTACAACAGTATTCTCTCCATTCTGTTATTATAAAAATCGATTTCTTAAATCATTTGTAATACCCTTGAATGGACATTTGCTACCATCATAACGCAGGTGTGTTATGACATTATGAGAATTTTATAAATTCCAGTCTATTCAGATTTTTTATTGACATAGCTCGTTTTGTGAATTATGCTCATTGGCGAATTTAGATAATGTTTGTTCCAATAATCATAGCTGTTTAGGTTTCTAGCATTGTACGTTGACGAATAACTCTAGCAATTCACATGTATGACGGTTATTAGGCAATCATTCGACAATCGTAATTCGGCTCAGTTCGCTCTAGTGTTTCATTAGTATTGTGACTGACAAAGATACAGATCGCGTTCATTTCTCTGTTCTCGGTCATGGGTGTCCGTGTTCAATTATTGTTCAATGGTTTCGATCGTCCGAATCGAAAGAGCCGTGTCTTGTTGGTGAATGTCTGTGATGTAGCAAAGTTTTGTTTTAGTGCTGGCTGTGAACCGATCTGTGGAATACACCGTGCATTGCATTATTGCAATGAAAAAAGTATTCTCCATACCCACTTTTCAAGGCCTAAAATTGGTTTATTTCAAAAACAAAATGATCGATGAGATTCTAAATAAAAAAATCTGGGTTTCTGTAAGGGAAGTTTTATTGACAATTCTCATCATAACTCCGAAGGAAGGGTAAATATAAGTATTCAACTTTTCATTTCTTAATAAATTCGTCAGTAATGCATATAGATGATATTTCTCCGAACAAATCAATGAGTAATGTCAAAAAACTTCCACAGATACCCCAAACGTATTTTTTTGTTATTTTGAAAACGATAACTTTGGATCATGAAAAGTGATAGTGTGGATAGGATATTTATTTTCATTGCAGTAATTCAAAGCACGGTTTCATAATGCATACCATCGAATAATGTTGATAACCTTATTACCACTGTTTGATGAATATACTAGAGTAGAAAAATATTGGGATAACTGCTGAAAATGACCTACATTACAATAGCATGTCGAAATGTCAGGTTTCATGCAGATATCAGATAACTATAATAAAATGAGACGAATTACTGCGTTACCTCAAGATGGCTGTGCCAGTAATAAAAACATGCTGTTTTATGTCGATAGTCTAATAACCACTGTAGAGTGGAGAGTTACTGCAACATTTTATGGGAATAATTCCTATTCGACATTCTGTGTTATCATAGAAATTGGAACAAGTAGTAGTTATTCAGCAGCGGTGTTTTTATACAATCTGCAGCAATAAGCTGCCATAACTACAAGTCACCTGAAAATTCACTTCATCTATGGTAGCACATGAACACATCTGTCCCCTATTTATTGCAGATATCGTAATAACGGTTATCAGATTTCCAATTATGATAACTCAAGTTTTCTCTCAGTGTACGATCAATGAATGTACGCGATCCCGGATATATTTTTTAAGTTCAAAATGGTACGTCTGATGGATGTACATGACTGGATCCGGTTTGTACGTTGACAAAATGGACATGAATGCACGTTCAGTGGATAAACGATCCTGGATCAGTTTCGTGCGTCCAATGATTGTCAAGTGGATGTACAATTTTCGACATTATGAAACATCATCCATATCATGGCAGTTCTGGACCGACCTAGAAGAGTACGGTAGTGATCTAAACTGTATGTTCACAAATTGAACATCTATGTACGTTCAATGAATGTACGATTCTGGATATTCATTGTACGTTCAATGTTGTACGTCTTTTGAATGTCCATTGGAAGTTCAATATTAGATATTGTGAAACTTCTACAGTAAGAAGTTTCAGGACGTCCAAGTGACGTACATTATTGGATCCAGTTTGTACGTTTACAAATGGTACGTTTTTGTACATCCTTTGTATGTTGAAAGCTGGACGCACGGTAGAGGGGATGCGAGATGGCGGTCTGATCGGAACATGAAGTGGGGCAACGGAGGATATCGATCGAGTCCAGCTCCAAAGTGAACATATTATGTAGACGGCAGACAAGGAGGTTACGCGCGCCATTTTGTGTGTTTTATACGTGTTTGTGATGAAATTTAGGATTCAGACTGCTATTTGGAACTGAATCATCCAAAGCATGTATGATGGTACGTAGCATATGTTCCGATATTCCTTTTCATATAACTATTTATTTCACATGATAAATGTGCTCTGATAATAGTTTGGGGCGTTGTAGGTAATGCGGAATAGGTATTTCATGATATTCTGTGGGTAACCTATGAGCTTGTGATTTGTTCGGAAAGGACGACTTGGACTTCATGTGATATCAGAAATAGAGCTTTAAATTAGTATAGCACTAGTTGAAGTTGAGCTGAATTGCTGAATATAGGACTTAGACAGTTGATTTATACGCTAATCCTCGACTACAGAATACTATGAGTAACACTTTGTTTGTCTCTTTTAACAGAAAGAAGAAGCGAGGTGACTGGAGAAAATATAAATCCATAATTTTTATAAAAATATAGTGAGAAAAGCACGATATCATATCTACTATGTTTGAGAAATCAAATCAGGGAAATATCCAGCCTCTGCCTATATTCAGAAGTCATACAATATACAAGAGACTTATAATGGCTGGGTCATCCGGAAGTTCAACGTCCAATCGGGTTACGTCCAATGGATGTCCATGTATGGACTATATGTATTGAATATATTATATTCATGATGTGGTTCTGAAGAGGAGTAATCATTGGGGTTCAGATAGTCACTGTATGGACGTTTATATAGAATTTGAACTGAACTGTGGTGAGTATCCAATTATACAAGTATACAATTTTATTATTCTTCTTGTTGATAATCGGAGTATTTTAGAGAAAAAACGTTTATATAAGAAATATTCTGACAAGTTTTCCAAATTCTATTTATAACAATCTTCTACAATCTGTCATATTCTCACTTGATTTTTCAACAAAATATACAGTATGTATGAATTCCCAACATACTCCCACCTTTTTCAATTGAATTATTTTGACTTGGAATTGAAAAAAATAAATAATATTCAATTTCATGATAACATTCAATATTGGAATCGTTCTAGTGGTTTAACTAATCCCCTCGTTGCTAGTTTGTCCTTCTTCCTCGGTCGGTTCTTCTTTCCGGTATATTCTTTCTTCATGTTCTTCAGCTTTGTTTTTCGAACTCTGTTGTAACCCTGCCAATTCAGGCTCCTGTTGTCTTATCGTATTTCTCACATTAGTTTTCCACTGTGGTGATTCATTCCTTTCATTTGTTGGAATTTCCAGAGGAAATATTCGCTGAAAGGGTCGGATCACTTCAGATTTTTCTAGCTTTATTTTTGCTACTCTTGAGACATTATCACGACCTGGAAATATCTGGCAAATTCTTCCTAATGGCCAGTCAACTTTCTTGGTGCTATCCGAACCTACTAAAACTATATCTCCTATTTGTAGATCCGCAGCTTTCTTTCGACCAGTATTGACCAGTTCTGCTAGATACTCATTTCTAAAACGTTTTCGTAAGCTATCTCTTAATTGCTGTAAATATCTATATCGTTTCACTAAATGTTTCCTATCAATAATATCTAAATCAGAAACATTCGAAAATCCTATATCCTGATGAAGAAACATGGATGGAGTCAAAGGTGTAAGGTCATCTGGATCTTCTGAAATATACGTCAGAGGTCGAGAGTTTATTGTAGCTTCACAATCGCAGAGTAAAGTTGATAATTCTTCATAATGTACTGAAGCTCTTCACAAATTCCTTCTCAACAACTCCTTGACTATTCGGACTATCCGCTTCCACCATCCTCCCCACCAAGCTGCCGTTGGAGGGTTGAAATACCATTTAATCTTCTTCACATTAGATAATACTTCTATCTCGTCCCAGTCAACTTTTTTGAAGAGATTATCTGTACCTATAAAATTAGTTCCATTATCAGAGTACATGATCTTCACTCTACCTCTTCGAGCTATGAATCTCCGTAAACCCATGATGAAACTATCAGTAGATAATGACAATACCAACTCAAAATGAACTGCCCTATATATTGCACATGTAAAAATAATAATCCACGCCTTCTCTTTGCCTTTCAAATAAAGTGGACCAGCTAAATCTACCCCAGTAACTTCAAACACAGCGGCAGTCTTTATTCTATTATTTGGAAGAGGCGCAAAGGGAGTCTCTAAATTCTTTTGCCGATATCTCTTACATTTCACACATTTCGATACTACTTCTCTTACTGTTTTCCTTCCTCTAAGTATCCAGAATCTTCCTCGGAGAATACTTAGTAGCATATTATGTGTTCCAGCATGGCCTGTAAACCTATGCTGTTCTTCGATAAGTTTTCTTACTATTTCATGTTTTGATGGCAATAAAATGGGATATTTAAAATGTTCTGCTTCATCCCCATACACTAATCGTGTTTGTACCCGCATCAAACCATCTTGATCTTCAAAAATTTTAAATCCTCGAATTATTTTTTCATCTGAATTTTTTAAGTTTTGGCGAAAACATTCATGTTGAACTAATTTTAGAAGCAAATTTTCAGCTTCAATTATCTCTTCTGCATTCAATCGACCCTTGCTTGAATTCCTTTTACAAGCATTATTAACAAATCTCATCATCCAACCAATCATTCGAACAATCTTTATATATTTAGAGAAGTAACTATTCAAGTTTATAATGAATACATCATTGTCTTTAACAACCAGAATTGTAGTTGTAGTTCTCTTCAGTTCCATATTTAACTCATCATCAGTACACGCAATTTGAGTTATAGGCCATTTTTCAGGGTTAGTCTTCAACCATGAAGGACTCTCCCACCATCTCGATTCAAACAAGTTTTTTGGACTACATCCCCGAGATGGAAGATCTGCAGGATTCATATCTCCTGGTACATGATTCCATTGACTAGCCAAGCTGTATAAACGTATTTCTTTTACCCTGTTACTAACAAATGTATTTAGGGCAAATTTCTTCTGAATCCATGTTAAAACTACCATAGAATCACTCCAAAAGAATGTTTTCATTTGAGTGAATGGTTCAACTTCTTTAATTGATTTGCACAGTCAATTCCATACGAGGTAGAGTTATCTGTTTTATAGGAGCAATTCTAGATTTAGCTTGAAGAAGTTGAACTGAAATGATATTTTCTATATTAGCTCTCAAGAAAATGCATGCAGCATATGCGGATTTGCTAGCATCACAAAATACGTGAAGACTAAAATCCCCTGTATTTCCTGGATTGAAAACATGACACATTTTTCTAGGAATACAGCACATCTTCAGCCAATGTGTTTGATTTATCCACGTGTTGAACCTTTTCTTAATATCAAGTGGCAATTCTTGATCCCAACCCAATTTGAGCTTCCATGTTTCTTGTAATAGAAGTTTAGGAATCATGGTCGTTGGACTACTGAATCCGATAGGATCAAAAATTTTTTGTGCAGCAGACAGCAAACCTCTTTTTGTATTTTGTTTCTCATCTATTACATAATTATAGTCAATTTTACAAGAAATTGTATCCTCCTTTATATTCCACATCATTCCCAAAATAGGTATCGAATATCCCTCAGAGGCTATATCGTTGTCTTTAAGAATGTCATCATCTTTCAATCCATCAGAATTATATGCCCAACCTCTGAGGTCAAAATTACCTGAAGACATCAATAGTTTTGCCTCTTCAATGAATTTATTAAGTTCTGTGTCATTCTGAACACTCGTTATGCAATTATCGACATAAAATGAATTTCTTAATTTTTCTGCAGTTTCTTTGAATTTTGATGGCGCTCTCTCTAAATGATAATCTATTGTGGCAGCTAATAGAAATGGACTTATTGAAACTCCAAAAACTACTCTACAATGCCTATAGAATTGCTTCGACTTCATCTGATAGTTTTTCCACCATATGAAAGCTAAAAAGTTTCTGTCATCTTCTGCTAAACTTATCTGAAGAAAAGCTTTCTTTATGTCGGCTACAACTCCAATTGCGCCTAATCTGAACCTCAAAATCAAAGACGGGATTAACTCTATCATATTTGGACCCTTATTCAAGCAATCATTCAATGAAAATCCCGTTTTAACTTTAGCAGACGCATCGAATACAGGATGAATCTTGGTAGTCGCACTCGACTCTTTTATTACAGGGTGGTGGGGAAGGTAGTGTTTAATGAGATGTATATCTTCTTCAGAAACTTTTTCGATGATTCCTAAATCTAACCATTCTTGAAAAACTTTTTCATATTCCTCAAATTTGTTTAGTGTAATCAGTTTATTGGAAGTACTTTCTAAACGGTTTTCTGCAATTGCTCTATTTGAGTTTAAATTAGGATGACCATCTACCCATGAAAGACATACTTCATATCTACCTTCTGAATTTCGCGTGATAGATTCCTTGAATTCTTTCAACACATCTGCCTCGATGATTTCTTTAGCCTTTGTTTCAACTGGATCTCGGATACCCAATATATCTAAATTCCATAAATCCGTAAGAGAAGGATTATTCAAACAAATAAGTGAAAACATATTTGATATTTTTGTGTCCTGTTGACCCATAACCACCCATCCTAATAAAGTTTCCAAGACAACTCATCCATTATCCAGTCTTTCTATGTTGCCTGTTATTATTTTCCCGAACATATCAGCACCCAATAATAAAGAAATCTCAGAAGGATACGGTCCAACATCGGAGAGTACAATATTTTTCTGACGGAGGATCTGCATACAAGATAAATCGTTCAACCTTGGAATATTATTACATATCTTAACTTGATCTATTACAGGAATTACACATGAGAAAGTATCATTCATATTCTGCACCGTAATTTCATACATATTATGTTTCAGAGGAGCTAACTGCTGCCCTCCAAAAACATTCTGCACAATTGTTTCTTCACATAATTTAACGAAATTCATCTCATTTGCACAATCAGAGGTAATATAGGATCTTTGTGATCCGGAATCTAGTAATGCTCTGATAATTTTACTCTTATATCCATTGACAATTTTAACATTAAGAGTTTGAAGCAATGTTTCAGTAGACGTATTACTTGTAAGTATATTCTCCGCATTTGTTGCAACTGTACTTTCCTTACTGACTTCTGGTGTATTTTTTGTATGCAAATCAGGACATAAAATAGGATAATGTTTTCTCTTACATATGAGACATTTAACAAATATCTTACAACGTTTCAAAGTGTGGTTAGGCTTCGAACAGGCAAAACAACAGTTATTTTTCTTCAATAATTCTTTCCTGTCTTCTAATGAAAGATCCTGCACCTTGATACAATCCTGACTTGCATGACTCTTAGAACAGAATGAACAAGTGTTGGATTGTATCAAGGTGCAGGATCTTTCATTAGAAGACAGGAAAGAATTATTGAAGAAAAATAACTGTTGTTTTGCCTGTTCGAAGCCTAACCACACTTAGAAACGTTGTAAGATATTTGTTAAATGTCTCATATGTAAGAGAAAACATTATCCTATTTTATGTCCTGATTTGCATACAAAAAATACATCAGAAGTCAGTAAGGAAAGTACAGTTGCAACAAATGCGGAGAATATACTTACAAGTAATACATCTACTGAAACATTGCTTCAAACTCTTAATGTTAAAATTGTCAATGGATATAAGAGTAAAATTATCAGAGCATTACTAGATTCCGGATCACAAAGATCCTATATTACCTCTGATTGTGCAAATGAGATGAATTTCGTTAAATTATGTGAAGAAACAATTGTGCAGAATGTATGTTGGGTTTCTTACTTATTCCTCCAGATGTGTACGATGTAGTAGCAGCATGCATTCCTCCAGATGCATGCAGAGTAGCAGCAGTATATAAATCGTTCTCACCCTGTGTTGTTGATCTCGTAATTCTTGACTTATTGAAATTACTCCTTGACATCCCGGATTCCCTCTCAGGTATGAAGCTGCTCCTCGCAAGATTAATCCTCTCTTCACTCTCGACCTCAGTTCGTAGAAAATCTAATAAGAGTTGGAATTGATTATTAGAATAATGATTGTCAGTGACAGATGCATGACAATCAGTCGACAGTGAAACTTTGTTATGACTTCGATGCCTTTCCCACATCTTGAGAATCTCTTCTGGTAATGCTGACTCTGCTAATGGATACAGCATGGCAGCATATTTATCACGAGTAACTCCTAATGACTCTAATGCGCGTAGTTGCGTTTCTAATTTATCAAATAATGTAGTCAAACTCATACCTGATTTGTTTGTGGCTTGTGTAAGCACTAGATTCAGCAATTCTCTTACGTGAACCTCAATAAGAAACT